ATAAAGGTTAAAGATAAAACCTTTTTTAAGTAGATATCAACAAAAAAATTATTTTAAAATCAACCTCAATAATCGCGCATAACAACCAACAAAAACACGTTACTCTTTGGTCACATTCAGGTACCATAAACAACAAAATCAAAATATTATTTTAATTGCTTGTCCTTGATTATATATTTCAAGTAAATAAATGGCACAAATAAACAAAAACCTCGCGGTCAAGGCCCGCCAAAATGCCACAAAGAAATCACACCATTTTACCTAAAAATTTCTTACTCAAATTTTCTATAAATGTGCTGTTTACAACTCTACTTATTCAATTGACTTTTACACTAAATGAGTATTTTTTTAAACTACAAAATAACATATTTAATAGAAATACCAAGTAATATCGCCTGAGACTGATACAAACATAATTTCAAATTAAGCTCGTCCACAAGAGCACCTTTAAATAATGACTTATATAATATACAAGTGAGATATACTAAGTATATCTGAAATTACATAATATGTTTTACTACTGAAGATAATGTATGTATACGTTATTTTAATATTATTTGCAAATTGTAGCGGTTCCCAGGAACTGAAGCTGTTTTCAGCAGAACATTACGATAAAATAAATATATTATTAACATCAAAGGCAAAAGAAAAATATACAAATTAACTTAGTGCTATAGAAAACACTATAAAAACATAATAAACCATCAGCGACCCTTATGTTATGTCTCAAACAAAAGCTTAAAGGTGTAAATTTCTCTCGGTAACTTATTCTTCAGTTAAAAGAAATATTGTGTGCACAGCACTACAACTTATATGTACAAGCAGCTTGAATTTTCTAGTTTTCATCGTCCTTGAACTTAATTATTATATTTTTCAATTACATCACTCCTCCGTCATTGCAGTGATCCAAAGACTCGGTTCTAAGATCTCGTTTATACAAATCATATTCCTGACTGACTCGATAGTAAGTTCGACTGATGATCAAGTGGCCTCGGGGTCGAACTCCAGATCAAAAATCAGTTAATAGTTTTTTTATATCATGAAATTTTCAGTGCCAACCCGGAGTCAGGAATTTGGTGGTGCTTCACTCGGAAAGCACAAAGCCCTTACTTCTGTGTCATCGCACTATGAGAGTGAGGAAAAAGAGAGTGCGCCTATGCTTGCGCACACACTCGTGCACTATAATCCTGTGCTGTGCTGATGGCTAGCCTTCGTCGAGGCTGGCCGTGATCGAAATTCGGCCTTAAGGACATTATTATTCGCAATTAGTGGAGTGCAATCTAAACTTAACGGCGGGTTTTAAATTAGGCAATTAACAAAAAATACGTAGTTATTTTTTGTTATTTATATTTATAAATAACAAAAATAACAATTAATTTTTTGAATTTCAAACTAATTTTTTGTTATTTATAAATATCAAAAAAATATAATAATATAATATTATTATACTTTTTGATAGTTACTTTTGTTTCGTTATTTTAAAATTAAATATATTCGAGCGAGGAACATAAACAGCTATAAGTAAGTTATATTAAGAATAGGAAACATTTAGGACACAGACACAGGTAATAATTGTAAAATTCAAGTTATCATTGACTTGCTATTATAATTTAAAAATTATATAGATTTTACAGAATATAATTACCTCATAATCATATTAAAACATGCAAACTTGATTGGATTTACTTTTATAAAAAATTCTCCCCCGTTCTTTAGAAAAATACTGCGCGAAGTAGCACTCGCAGAGAATTTGACAACCGCCTTCAAGTTTGAATCGAGTATTATTTATAACTTGTCAATGAGGGCTAGTTACATTACGCTCCGCAGATGTCGCTAGCTGACACCGAGGTGAAGTTTATTACTACACCATATCTTAGAAGTCTTTTATTAAGAAATTAAATTTAAATAAAAGTTTATCAGTTTCTAGAGTATTACATTAATACACAAAACCATGCCTGAGTGGTTTTCTCTTTAATTTATTGCACATTTTTAATTCTTTTTTAATTTTTCTACTTTTATGAATATCTGTAGTTTGGTTTGTTTTAATCTAATACAACAAAATACAACTAATAGTACAGTAAGAAACATTAACTTTTACATTTTCCCAAGAAATTAACTTCGTCGATATAATAGGTTACTAAGTGTTCTAGAACTACGGTGAAGTCTTGTTTTGAAATCAAACTTAAGTACCATTATAGTTATTTACTCCCTAATTAATTTAACTTTATAATAAATCATATTTTAGTTAGTTCTATAAAAAATATTTTAGTAACGAAATAGTAATAAGTAAGAAATAATAATGAAAATATATAAATTTATTTATAGATTACTGATTTTTTTATTTATATAATTTAAAATCAACAAACGTTCTCAATTTTTTAAATGCCAATTATAACAATTTATACTATCATAAAATTTAGTTAAAATTAAAAAAAAAACAGAATAAATGCGCAAGGTAAATTTGCATATTAACATTTATTCTTTTTTTTCATCAATAAAACATCATTACGTCCAGCGTTTTATGACTGCAAAATAACTGCACAATCTTATATGTAATGTATTACTAAATATAACAACTACTGTAGCAGTGGGCTTAGGTATATTAATATGTTTCATTGAAACAACCTAATAAAGCAACTGGTAACACTAATTAAGGTACAATAATAATTTAACTATGACTAAATTTATTCCGTTAAAAGTCTTTTACTATTTGCCATTGCAATGAGTAATACTACTGTTGTGAGCATTTTAACAATATTTACAATGCATAAACTTAACTATAATTTACTGGCATCACCTTATATGACATTTACAGAATATACAATGACAAACTAATTCACATTATAAAGAAATAGTTTGACGGTAAACAATCTGTGTTGCCAACACATTAATTTGTAAAAACTACCATAACTTGTAATAGTCAGTTAAAAAAAATTAAGTAAGTAATATTAACGTTACATAAATTTAGATAAATATGCGGAATCGTTAAATTTAAAGACATATTTATAAAGATTTTTTAACAACTAGAGACTAGGATGTTGAGCACTCAAGTCCAATATAATGAAGAAGTAATGCTTACGCAAATGTGCTTCTCTTCTCTTTATGGTACTTATTTATTCCGCTAACAAAGTATGAACTTACTTTGATGGCAGTAACTTTATATTAATTACCACCTATGGCCAGGTTGGTCAAAATATCGTATTTTAGACACGTTTGTGACAAGCAAGAATTGAAACTATTTAAGATAGTAGGTATATGCTCGGAAAAATATTGTGCATGCGTGAAATACTCAATGAAATTCTTATTCTAATTGATTTTATAGGTACTTTCTATTAATCAAGAAAAAAACTATAATAATTCACCGGGAAAACACTTTGACGTTCGAGTTCTCGTTTTTTTTTAAACTAATGAAAGGCATTTTATTGAATTTTTTTCGTTAAACTTACTAGATCTTTATTTCCCAGTAAGCAGCAAAAACGTTTCAAGTAAAGTAGGTAATTTTTAATCCACTAAATGCGCAAACTTATTTCGTGCTGGACAAATATAATATAAATAGAGAAGAAAAGGGCGCTAAAAGCCTTTTAATATAGAGAATCCTCGCCTTAATATTGTTATTAAAATAACTACAACGACTTTCGCATGTATTTGATGATAAATCATATATTTAGGGCCACTGTATTTGAGACAATTTTAGTACTTTTTAGGATACATCCTATTAATAATTTAGATATTTATATCGAATACCAAAGTGTGTGAATTTTTCTAATGTATTTAAATCACCTAAACAAAATCTCAAATTAACAAAAAATCTCACTTAACCTTATTATGCCTTGTCAGTATCACTAATTATTTTTATAATCCACTTTCACTTATTACGTAAATCGATATTAGTTTTTTTCATCTATATAGTTTAAGATCATTCCAAATATCAATATATATATATATATATATATATATACAATATGTAACATAATTAACGCACACTCTCAGACACCCCAATGTTATAATCATAATACATACACTGAATTTTTAGTTAAACAATTTTATGCACTGATTATTTATCAAATTAGTTATACTAATTCCGGAAGAATGTTGTGTTCACAGTACAAACCCACGAACGCTAAGACTTTAACGTGCTTGAAATAAAGTTCATTATTCTTTATTTTTATTGAATGACAGAATTAGTAATAATACAAATAAAACTGCACTCTTAAAAGTCTTATTGCCTTAAGTTACGGTCCATTTCTGTTTGTTTTGACTGTACAGATTTAGTGTGACTGTGATTTACGTAGTTTTAATTATTTTTGGGAAAAAAAATTACCTATATTAAAAATTATAGGAATCGATTCAGTAAACGATTCTGAACAAACTACTTTCTCAAAGTGCGTTAATTATGTTACATGTTGTATATACAGATTATCCATACTGCGGAGTGTGGACTGTGTGAAATTTTATAATAAGGTACGTGAGGGTAATATCGTCAACTTAAGCTTTGCCGCCCTATAAAACCATAACTAGGATAAGGACAGACACAAAAACACAAAGTCGTGTACTAAAACTAATAATATATAAAAAAATTGCAAACAAGCTTTGACAACACTTAGAAAAATCAACATATAAAAAAACAGTTAATGACCACGTTTACTATAATGTCAACTGTCATAATGGCGTCGATAAAGCAGCGCCCTTTTGACCTTTTATTATTTGATTGACTGATGAAAAGTTATCGTATCACAGACCCTTATATGCAAACAAGGCCGTAGTTTTTTAGTAATAAAAAAGTGACCATATTACCCTCACATACGCTATCTAAATACAGTAACTCTAAACGATGAACACGCACTCTCTCCTTTAAACCATACCATTTTAGAACTCACCTACCTCAGAACGATTTATCTCATATTTAGGAAGATTTAAAGACTGGATGTCTATAAATCTTAATACATGACAATCAATGCCACACAAAAACACTTTAATGTCACCGTAACTGACCACAAGCCTTATTTGTCGCAATCCTGCACCAGATGGATGCTGTCTTCGTCCCGGCGACTGGTGTGCGGCCGTCTTAGAGGGCGTGGATGCTGGAGGATGGAGAATCGCTCGGATTGTTGGCCGCCTTGCTTTTTGTTTAGTGCGTTCCTAAGGTGGCTTTCCCCTAAACAAATGAATTAAAAAGTGTATTGAAAACTCTCGATATACGAAAGGTGGAGTAAAAGCAACAGAGAAAAATATTTAACATCTCAAACGCCAAGCGTCCAAATTTGACCGCTTCGATATTCCGTCAAAATTTCAAGAGGTCAAATTTGACCGCACCCACCCACAGTACTTTAACCTATAAATACTTATGTTTAGAGACTACTTTTCTATGAAGAAGTTTGGCATTATAGAATCAATATGAAATTTTCTATCCTCTAGTTGAATAAAAAAACAGTTAGTCTATGGATATTAATTTATATTCTACGTTCATTACGTACGCCAATTTCATTTGGATGTTGTTGTGATGATTTTTGGATTTTTCAAGTGTTTTATTAGGGTTTTACTATAGTATTTTATTATAAAATTGTTATAAAAGTTTTTGTGTGAATATAATTTATCTTTTTACGTAAATAATTTTGAGTGATATATAGAAATAATTGTGATTTTCACGCTGTCGACATCCGCTTGGTATGTTTTTTTTTTTGTTATCAAAATACAATAAAATATTTTGTAATGAAGTAAAACCTGACTTTTGTTTAGACCCCAGGATAGAGAATTTTGAATAGATTTTATAATGCCAAACTTCTTCATTGAAAAGTAGTCTTTAAATATACGTTTTTATGGTATTAAGTGCTGTGATTGAAGGGTTAATACTTTTATTTAAGAACTGAAAAACTCAAATATATTTGACTCGTCGTAAAGACTCGTTTATAAATATAACTAAAGAAAAGTTTGCTTTCGACGCCTTTCCAGCCAGGTAGTAATATTGTCCATCTTAGATTGACATGTTCTCATCTCTCTGTCTCCAATGTTGTTACATTGCTTTCATTTCTATAGTGTTGGAAAAAAAGTGTCAGAAACAAGCATATTACACAGGGTTTTTTTTGCAATAACCGGCCAAATGTGTAGAGCAGGTTCCGAATAAGTAATGTAAATGGTGAAGAAAAATTAATTAGGAAAAAATATCAAATATTCTGTTCTTTTTATATTAATAAATTATGGTAATACATTATATTAACTCGTTTTACTGCGCACGCACACATTCGTAATGGTCAATCGATAGGCAATAACTTTGTTGCCCATAAATCACATTCAATTTGGCATAATTTCAGAAAAAAGTAGAAGCCTTATTTACTTGTATTTTCAAAAACTTTACAATAACGGTATATCATTATTTATACAAGGTTACTGGTAACTCGACGTATTCCCGCCAAGGCGTGGTAGTTGGGGTCATAACCTATCAAATGAACCATAAAATACATTATGCAAATGTGGACCAATCTTCGAGATATTTAGGTTGTATTTTTTTCAAAAATCACCATAAAGTAAGCTGGTGTCATAAGGCCAATTTCTAAAAAAAAACAACAGCTGTATTATTTTCATTTTATTTATTTTTTACTTAATGAAAACCTAACTTATTTATCAATACTACAGTGTGCAAGTCGAAAATGATGTACTTTTAAGTAACTCTACTAAAAGTACAACTCCTTTTATCCAAACAGAAGATAAGTAAATAAAAATAAAAGTGATTTTGTGAAAAATAATTGTATGTGATCAATTGTGTGGACCTGTGATGTGACCAAATGAAGGAGCCTTGTTCCTGGCAAGGCTATTTGGATGAGTTCAATGAAACTTAAGTTCAATCAATATTGATTAAATCTGCAATTTAAAAAAGTGGTTTATATGTTACGTAATAAAACAAAGTATTACTTAAATATTTGTTAGTTTCACTTATTCAGTAAATAAACGAATGATAACTGTTTATATGTTAGAGTGGCTTTCCATGGTACTCCCACCTTATTTGTATTTAAGTTTAAAATCTGGCTACTGTTTGAAATATAACCTTGTATATTACATCTGTATTTTAAGACTGCCTTTGTCATTTTAACTTACCTGGCAAGGATAATGGCCGACCACACAATGTTAGATCATGTGACCGCGGAGAAGCAGAGCGGGAAGAACGGGGTCGATTTGTACCGCGTCTCGGAGATCGAGCCAATATTTCCTGTGCAGCAATAGCTTTATTAACTACAGTATAACGAGTTTCTTAACATATACCTTAATATTCATAGAAATATAATTACAACAGTAAAAGTAATTTACATTAAATTTTATTTTGCTTTAGTTTCATATTATCATTCTATCAAAAATCCACTGCTGAACATATGCCTCCCCCATAGATTTCCTCCTGGGGGGGATATTTGCCTGAGTCTGGCTTGACTAGCAGGTTGGCAACCGTAGTTTTTTATTATTTTGAGTAGTTATTAGGAAGATGCTGCTACACTACATGTTATGAGTTCATTTTAAGTTCCATATAAATTTTAATTGATTGATAATTTAAAAAATAAATGCAATGGATCACCTTAATCTCAATCCATTTTAAATAAATAAAAAAAATACAATATTTTTCGTAGAACAATGGCAAGTTACTATAGCCTTGTTAGATACAAAATTTTAGATAGATTTAGGTAGTGAGGTTACGTTTTCAAACATACAAACTATACATTTTACAACTTGACATAACAGTGAACAGGTTTAGACTACTTTATTCTATTATTTATTAAACATATTTAAATGTTGGTTCAGTTTACTCATTCATTCATTACCATAGGTGTTGAAAGAGTTGACAGAAGAAAACCGAAACACACAGATAGGCAGCAGCGTCTCAGCGTCAGCTAAGCGTGCAACTATGGCTTAATTCCTATGAAGAAATCTTTGGGAGTGGCCTATACTCAGCAGTGGACTTTTATAGGCTGTAATTGATAATTGATTGTGATTGATGAATTGATTTGACAAATTTAATCGATATTTTGACAAATTTAAATGCTAAATAAGCAGGGTATACATTATACATTAGGGTATGTTAAATAAACGACACAAAAAGCAGTAATATTAGTAACCTTCTCCTGAGTATTGACTGACCCAGCACTGTACGAGACAGGGCTATCAGCGAAGTCGAAAGCACTCGATGCGCGGTTCGACAGCGATTCTTCATCCGATAGTAAAGCATTAAATAAATTGTTAATACATTATTCAAGGCGATTAATTGCTGAGTATAATAAATAATTAAATAGTATAATAATTATTTAACTTAAGTACAATAATTCTTTAAATATTTACCTATGTAAGTGTTATACAAAAAAATTACAGCCAATCTTCTTAATAGGTTAGTTAAAATAATTATATGACTAAGGCCCGAATATTCCAATGCTACTCAATTTGAATATGCCGTTAAGTCTTGTGCTGAATCTATAAAAGCAACTAAAAGAACGAGACAGAGGTCATTATCCCACTATGCTTTTTTTTTTAAATAAATGTAGGCAACATTTATTTAATAAAAAAAATATACCACACTATTATTTCCTCCTGTATTGTGAGTTGTCACATATAAATTTCACAAGGACAAACATCCAGACCCAAAACAATTGCTTGTAGGCCATACATAGACTTGTTCTGTGCGGGCTTTATTGGTAGCATGTCCTGAAGTTACTACTTGCTGACTTCAGCACCCTTGCAGTGATATCACAATGTCTCTAGACCACTTTCAAGTACATGTCCTACTCAGTGATTACATTTCTGAAATTTGGGGTCTCTATCTTCCTATGTCAAGCGATTGTGACACCACGAGACATAACGACATCTTAAAATTGAATAGTGTTTAAATGTTTGGCCATAAAACTAGTCTCTTTTGCTTGATCTAAAAAATAAAAAATGAAATATCTTTATGTAAAAAATTTAAATTCTATTATGTTTACAACTTTTTTTAGTAAGTATTGGTATTTCATTAATAAACATCCATTCAATCATACATTTCATAACATGCTTACCTTCTGCAATTGTCTACAATAATATGATTTACAGAAGATAATGAGAAATTGTTAGCTTGTTATTGATAAACAGTAAATCTCAAAACATAAAAATATAACTTACTTATGGGAAGGTATGGAATAAATATTGTAATGTAAATATTGAATACTATAAAAAGAATTGTTGCACTTTTTGCAGGAATTTTTAAAATCATACGAACTTACCATTGCCATTACAGCCTATCAAAAGTCCACCATGAGTCATGTGTCAATCATGAATGATTCGTTTGTTTGGGCTGGTACACTTAAAAGTATTGATGGTTCATTCATCTGTTTTTGAATGTTCCGGTACAACCAATCACAAAAAAATTACGGAACCTTTTTAACTCGTGATTGGTGGCAATTGTGAATCAGTCGGAAACCCACTGAATCCCGAATGAACTTTTTTTAGTGTAGTAGCATCCATTTGAATGATCGATCCGAATGTACCAGTACGCGTGACGAAATGTACTAGAATAATTAGATCACGAGAAATGAATGATAGACACATGTCTACTGTTGAACTATTTTGCCATAGTTGCCACGCTTGCAAGGTAGGTAGAATAGTTTTCTTCAGTTGATGTTAGAAAACCGCTGCTGTGCATCTCCTGGTTTCTCTCTCTCTCTGTCACCTCTTACGACACCCATTGTATGATATGGAGTGGATATTCTTACAGGGAAAATACACAGTCATAACACTGCTAGCACATTTTTTTATTGCATCTAATACCCTAACACAGTTAATGTGGTTGCCTAGACATGAGTAATCCATAATGTAAAAATGGGATGTGTAAATGGTATTTACCATGCGGCCAGCAACTTGCAGGTGGTGGAGATCTAATCATATGCTCATGTACCTCTTTCAGTGTTAATGGGTCATCTTCCACAAAGTTCAGGGCTGCACTTCCAAATTCCTGAAATATATTTTAAAACATTAAAAAAACCAGTCAAGAAAGGATCCAGATTTTTAAAGAAAATCTGGGTGTGATAATTTGCTCCCGAATTCACTCAATATAATATAAAACATGATTTATAACCATCTACTATATATAATGTTTCATTTATAAATTCAAATACATTACAGCAGCCTGAACCCTGAGATATTTGGATCATATCTACGATTATTCTTTAGGTCTGTAGCCCTATGTAAGCACGAAAAGAAAAAATAATTTTAAATATTGAGCCACATTTAGGCCATTGATTTTCAGAATAATCCTTTAACAAATATAATACTTAAATAAGCAAAATCATATTTTATGTTAATTATACCCTTATTATTTAATTCAAACAAAACTTTTGATAGTGCTTAGGTAGATAACCCAAAATTCTAGGATAGGCAGTAGTTAATTCTGGGGTCGACAAAGATATAAATTAATATTTAAGAAGAAATGCATGAATGGAAATAATTACATATAATTGTAATGCTATCTTTCCTTATTTCATCATGGTAATTGTAAATGCTCCTCTTAAAAGTCAATTCACAAAAAAGAGGGTTTAAGTCCTTATTTCTCTCGCATCTTAGTATGTATAATAAAAATGGTATAAGTTTATGGCGATTGAGAGGACACATAATGAAAAACGTAAGTATTATTTGCGAAACAGCACCAAAATGGTCAAAGCTTTAAATCTCAAACTTATCGGATTTGGATCGGACGAAGTGCTGAATCGGCTTTCGAATTCGCTCCGAGTTTTGTAGATTAGTGTTTACTTGGATTCTGGTCGGATTAGTGCGTAAATTCTCTTAGGCAAGATTTAGGAGAATCATCTGGTAAGTGGTAACATTGAACAACTATTGTCAGTATATAAACATAAATTAATTTACTAAAAACTATCAAAAGTTCACTGCTTCAGCACAGAAACCAATAGGAACATAGGCCTCTCTCACACAGGCAGGTTACACCCAGCACTTTAAGTTGATATCAGGATCACACTGCTAACCTTCTGTTTCATTTCCACCTGTCGTCTTATGCCACCCACAGAATGATCTACATGGCTACAAAATTGATTTATTCATAATACAAATTCATAAGCATGAATTGATTCAGTCAACTATTGACATTTTTAATAATTAATCCTTTAGCTGAACTGAAGTCAAAGAATAGGGCTTCTTTATTTTTAACATATTTACATTAGTACTAACCTGTGACATTAAATTAGTGTCATCAGAACCACACTCTTCTGCATGACTTTCAATTAGACTTTCCCTGCTGGCCATAACTTGCTGAAAAATTATGTACGCGCTCATTATTATCTTTTTAAATAATATCACAGAATGTAACAGTTATGTAAGGCACTTAGGTACCTACCTGTAAATAAGGATTGTCTTGTCTTGACAGTCTAAGGGCTTCCATATCTTGTGCAATATTTCTCGTCCTACCAGGAGTTAGCAAGACTGCAGGCGAACTGCCCATTGCGGGAGTTATAACTAAAACATTTAAGAAATGTCGTTTCGAAACTATAGCTCTTCAGTGTCTATTCAAAAAAATCTTACTTACCAGAAAGAGAATCATTACTGCCTTCCATAATTCACAAATAGTCGTAACTGTTGTTAATAAACAAAATATTCTTGCTTAATTGCAGAAGTGAACCGTATAATAACAATTTATGCAACAATAACGTTTTCAAGACTCAAAATAGAGTACTAAAATAACCGTACGTCAAGTATTGCTATTATAAATAATATATGAAATATATATTTTAATATTTTTAACAATGTACCTAGTTCTATGTATGTTCCAACTTTATCAGAAATTAAATTTTAACATAAAATTAAAGGAACAACTGATAAAGTGATAGTACTCATAAATACTGACACTGACAAATGACAATAGTTGTTCAATGTTACCACTTACGAGATGATTCTCCTAAATCTTGCCCTAAGAGAATTTACACACTAATCCGACCAGAATCCAAATAAACACTAATCTACAAAACTCGGACCGAATTCGAAAGTCGATTCAGCACTTCGTCCGATCCAAATCCGATAAATTTTGAGATTTAAAACTTTGACCATTTTGGTGCAGTTTCGCAAACAATGCTTACGTTTTTCATTATGTGTCCTCTCAATCGCCATAAACTTTTACCATTTTTATTATACACACTAAGATAAGAGAGAAATAAGGACTTCAGGATAAACCCTCTTCTTTGTGAATTGACTTTTAAGAGGAGCATTTACAATTACCATGATGAAATAAGAAAAGATAGCAATACAATAATATGTAATGAGGATTCGTAACGTTTTTAGTTTATAATGCAGATTTATAGATCTAAGAAATCCTTAACATACATTGCAAAAATTTTTGTTCTACGACAAAGTATGACGAAGTTATGGCCAAATTACTAGCGAAGTTCACTGACGGCCCGGCGCGGTACCTGTGACGTCACTATGACGGTCTTCGCCAGTTAGCCGTTGGCAGCGATAAGGCGGGCAGTGTTTTGTTTGGTTAATTGTAACTTTGAAACAAGTTAAGTGTCCGATTTGTGTCTAATTCACCTTTTTAACTATGTATAAATATTGTATAGTGCCGAAATGTACAAACACTTCTATTAAAACACCAGAAAAACTATTTTTTAACGTACCGAAAGACCCAAAACTTCGTAAAAAATGGTATTCCATTGCAAAAAAGAGATGATAAAACTACACCCTCTGCCCAGGCTACAAGACATTGCTGTGAAGATCACTTCGATGTACGTACTTACATATCTATTATACCTATTATTTAGTTGATATGGAAATACGTTGGTACCTTATGTTACGTGTAGTGTACCTGTGTATTCTCTTATTTTAAGCCTGCTGTATTAATAAAAACATACCTATTTACTTTTTCTAAGTTTTGTTGATAAACCTACGTACTAACGTATCTAATAACGTAAACCTATATATTCGCCCGTTCCCATTTCTACGTATTACTAGCTTTTGCCTGCGGTTTCGTCCGCGTTGAATTCAGTTTGTCACAGAAAGTTTTCATCACACCTCTATTTCATCCCCTTAAAGTTTTATTTTTGCGATAAAAAGTAGCCTATATCCATTTTAAGATCTCAGTTATCTCTATACTAAAAGTCACTAAAATCGGGTCAGCTGCTTATGTGTAAAAGCATCGTATTTCGTATTAAAAGGTCAAAACAATGACCTAGAGACGTACTCGGGTAAAAAGCAAAGAGTGAATGATAATATTCTTTAACCATTTACATAACAGCGGTGAATTTATGTATCTGCCTCAGCTATGCCTTATTGATAGAGGCAAATAAATTAATACTTATATACATTTTTATATTTCAGTTAGAAGAAGATATGGAAAATTACGTAAAGTTTAAGTTAGTTAGAGGAAAGCTTAAACTGAAGAAGGGAGTTTTGCCTCATAAGTTTGAATGCCAAAAGCCTCAAAAAAAGAAAATTGACAGACCCGGTTTTAAAAAACGACAAGACATAGAATATTTTGAAAGAGTTTTAAGTAAAGATATTGGACACGAAGACCTGTTGTTGCATTCCATTGAAATAGTAGAGTGTGAGAATCAAGACTCAAATAACATCCAAAACAGTGATCCCCTTTACATACCTGAAGAAATAGACGTATTATCAAAAAACAATGTAAGGGGTCCTGCACACAGTGCAGGTTAATATGAAACCAAAAATGAAAACTAAATCGAATAATACGCCAATGAAATGGAAACAACCAATAGTTAAAAAAAAGTAATCCCTAAAAATCTTGATCCAAACGTTAGCTTCACGATCAGCAACTCAAACTCAAGTGAAAATACTCGTTCTTTTGGTGTTAGTGCTAGTGATAACGAGTCGAATGATTTAGAAATAACAAAAACAATGCTCAAAAATTTCTTCCATGAGCATATGCAAAAGGGCGCTCTAATGTCTATATCTCGAGATCCAAAATTACTGATAGGCATTCCTGCGCATTCATATTTTTGTATTAAACATTTAGAAAACTTCACGGAAATATCATCTATTGAAATCCCAGTGACTTTACGAAAAATCCGATGGCATGACCCAAATTCAATGCTTGCAATACATTTTGGCCTCTCTGAGAGTTCTGTGACTAAATATTTTAATAAAACTCTCCCAAAAGTTGCACTGTGCCTGAATCGACTTATTATCTGGCCATCAGCAGATGATGTCAGAGAAAACTTGCCGATAGCTTTTAGGAAGCGCTATTCTAAAGCGATTTCAATAATCGATTGTTTTGAAATTCAAATCGAGAAACCTAGTAACGCTTCGCACCAAGCGGCTACATGGTCTCAATATAAAAGCTGCAATACCATTAAGTACTTGATTTCAATTACACCTGACGGTTTGATAAACTTTATCTCTGAGGGATATGGAGGGAGGACTCCAGACTCAACAATATTTGAAGACAGCGGATTTCTTGACAAATTGGCGTAGGATTGGCATTGGCTTTGGATAGGTGTTTCAAAAATATTTCCCATTTACTGGAACAACGTGGTTGTACACTCCTGAGGCCGCCTAGTGTGAGTTCCAACTCAAAACTTACAGCAGAGGAAGTCTTGCAAACAAAGAGAATCGCTGCTATAAGGGTTCACGTTGAAAGAAGCATAGGGAAGTTGAGAGACTTTAAAATGATCGGACCTCACGCATGTGTCGATATTTCATACGTACATTTTTTAGATAATATTGTAACAATAGCCTGTGGTTTAGTTAATTTACAGAATTGTCTATTTAGTAGTCAAGTGTAAAAAAAAATGCTTTCGTTTCTTTTATAGTTTTATTTCGACAACCTCGCAACATCAAAAGCACATGTCATATTATTAATAAAAGAATAATTTTAAGTCTCAACTAGTTTTGGAAACACTGATGTTTTCCAAAAATGCGTGGACTTCTCTAAAAGATCAGTACAATAGTTTTCATCATAATATTCTTCAAATATTTCTACTTTTTTATTGCTTTCAAAATTTTCATTAGCTAAACAAAACAATCCCTTGACTTTATTGCATAAAAACATTTGTAGCTGAATTTGAGCTTTCCATTTGCTGCCGATAACACTATTCTTTACAAAACTTTCCTTTCCTTTCTTTGTCGAGGGACATTTTATTTCTACTACGTATTCACTTGTGAATCCATATGGAGAAGCACCTAAATGAGGCCAATCAGGTTTTAAAAAAAAAACCACAATTTTCAATAACTATTTTCCTTGTTTTGGCTACTTCTGCTCTGACATTGGATTCCAATCGTTTGCCTCTTTTCATAGACAGAGTCTCGGGTACAGAGGCACCAAATATTTGTTCAATCAAAGCACCATCAGGAGTCTTGCAATGTGCAGCTTCGTGAACTTTAGACGCGGTTATTCTACAATACCTTAACTCATGCCATAACGGTGAACTAGCTTGACAAACTGTTGCTTCCTCTGCTTTGTGACATTTTTCTATGGTGATTTTAGTAGAGCAATAATCAATAAAATCATCTGCACTATTTATATTATTGCCTTCATTTTTGTATTGATGAATGAGGTTATGCAAAGACAATTTTTTATACTCATTCTTTGTTACGTATACTGATAACTGATTTTTAATAGAATGTTCCTTTAGGCTTTGCACAACTGCTAGGAAAAACTGATCTGAATTGGTGTTATCAATATTTTTATCTTCAGTAGTAACTGAACTGGGACCCATATCTTTAGCTTTTATAAATTTAGTACCTATAGTAGCCAGCTTTGCTTTGGCCCAGTAACATTTTTTTTCAGTAGGAGATGGCTCCTTGCTGCGTCTATGAAGCCACATCAAAAACGCTACGCTATGTTTGCAACCTCCCTTTTGAGCAGCACAGTCATGACAGTCCACGTTCAAAACCGTTTCCTCTTTTTCATCACATGTAAATGTACAGCTATACGCTTTACTTTTTATTCTATGTTCAGGCGTTATTTTTGCTTTTACCGTACAAACACGTCCCGACCTCTGGACTTGAACAAATCCTACAGCATCATCTCCATAGGTTTCACGTGCCGATCTGTAATAAATAAATAAAACGAATTAAAAAATATATACAAATAACAAAATTCTATCCTACTACTATATTTTAATTCCGACTAATATTATAAATGTGAAAGTTTGTGAGGATGAATGTATCTTTGTTCCTCTTTCAAGCAAAAACTGCTGAACAGATATGGATGAAATTTTACAGGAACCGTGCATTTTTTCTGGTATAAAAAGTGCTTTATCTCGGAAAAATACACGGTTCCTCTACGATAAATAAATAGTAGTCTATGCGGGCGAAGTCATGGGCGTTCGCCAGTATTATATATTTTTTATACAAAACAAGTCATCCTACTTAAATACATACTGAACGAATGATTTGTAACAATGAGCAAGATGGAAAAAAATCTGCCATTTACAATCAATATTAAGGTTTCTGTCATAGATCAGCAAGTGTAGGGAACCATGCAATAAATAAAGTGCAAGTAAGTTAAAAATCATCTGCAAAATGATCTACATATGAATGAACGAAAACAACATTCCTTTTATCAAGATACTATAAACACTATTCATAAGTTATGAATACGTCCCTGTAACCTAAGATGTTTATACATCTTTGCCCGTAACTATACTTTACAACATTCATTCTTTCATTTATTTACCTATACAGCTTATTCCTAAAGATTACTAATAAGTACCTACGAACGTAGATAAATAAGCAGCACCCTTACCTTTGTAGTTTCCAACCACGGACTTCAGCGCTGGTGAACTTAGAATGATTACTTAGATAATCAAATACCATGAAAGAATCCACTTTTGGAAGGTTATTTGATTGAGCTTGCACAAAACCAGCTTCTACTTTATTAGCACTCATATTATGTATCTTTAATACATAAACAATCACAAAATTACACTGTAACAACACTTTATTTAAATAAATTGCCAAATATAGTGCCCAACCGCGTCTCCGCGCTCCGTCGAATCGTGAACTACCACAGAATACATGTATGAACTACTATGATACGTTCGGTTCCGTCACAGTGACGTCACGCGGACCTCCGTGCATTGACTTTTAGCGACAGGAACGGCCTATGTTTATTACATAATATCTTCGTAAGTAATGGTCCGATTTGGCTAATTCAAAAAGATATATAATTCTTATGTTATAAAGAATAACGTGGATACTAGTTTTATTGAATTTTCTATAACTTTACTGATCCTCATTATATCTATTCATGCATTTTTTCTTAAATATTAATTTATAGATTATTTTTATTTTGTAGTCATCTATCTATTTACAATGTAACAAATTGGTTCGGTAGCATAGCATAAATAGGTATGATGGTGGTATCTACAAGATCATAAGGAATCCTAGGTGGAAAAATGTCTCGTGCATTGTTCAAAGAATATAATATAAACACTACATTTCATTTATCTGAGTGACTGGAGTAAGGCCAGACTCATACATTCAGAATTCCGTTTCGGAAATCTGATTGGAGATTCAGAACGTAGCAAATACACATAAAAAGTTTTCATACAACGCCTTTGAGTATTAAACTCTGTACTTTGAATATAAAACTTGTTGCTCCGCGTTGTGTGCCCTGCGCCCTCCTTTCTGCCAAGGAGGGTTGCGTCTGTATACGGCTTAGGGACCTCTCGTCAGATCAGTAAGCCAATTCATAAAGGTGGGGTTTAGTGGCTAAAAGTCTCCACATAACCACGCAGCCGGCTGCGTGGTATGCTATGAGCATTCCCCATCTACCACCCCCAGAGGGTTGCCCATATTTGCTTCGGGCGCAGAAAAAAGTCGTGTGCCATTACGCAAGTGATCGTACCAGTCAAGTGAGCTCTGACAAAAATGTGGAATTGCAGTGTATTTTCATGCAAAAAGCAATCAAATCTACAAAATAACAAGGTAGCTTTTCATCAGTGAATACTTTTAACATAATGATATCGTTAAAACTCATATTTTCTGAATATTTTCGTAAAAAATCCAAGTATTGCCAGCATACTTCATGAAGTGAATTTTTTGATATAAACGATTTTGAAATAAATATAATTTATTACACAAAATGAATATATTAAAGATCAAAAATTTATTTCATATCAACTATATCAGTTTGTGATGAATAATAATCATTATATTGAGATGTGTAGTGAATTTTGTCAAATGATTTAAATATTCAGTTCAATTCCAACACGATTCTGAATAATATAATATTATAATTTAATATAATCGATAACTACTCTTTATCAAAATATTCTAAAAAATAAAGGCCGAATAAGTCAAATCGAAACTTGCCACTTGGTAGCAAATGTATGTAATCTTTGTAAAATTAAACTGGTGTCACTGCAAACGAAAGTAGGTACTGAAATGTAGTGATGTACGCCACAACTGTAGCTATCGATAAGTTAATTAACCCATTCGGGTTTGTCTGCCGAACAGGTTTTTATTTTTTGTTTAGATTTTATAATAAAATATTATAAAAAGTAGCAATTTTGTCTATTATTGGTTCAATAATAAATAAAAATAGTTTATTCAGTAAATGGTCATACATAAATTATAACCAGGAATGAAGTCTCCTTTTTTAGGTATAAAAAAACTTGTGTTAGGAGACTCCACTCTTTCAAGTGCTAACTTAATTTACTATTTGCATGGATCTTTACGTAATAATTAACTATAAAATTGAAATAAAAAAGTAATAGTTTTAATATAAACATAGAAATAAAGATATTCACAGTAGAACCAGAGAGCCCAATATAGCCCAACGGATTAGTAAGCTGAAGTGGCAATAGGCCGGCCATATAGTTCGAAGAATCGGTAACCGATGGGGAGGGGAGTTGAAGTGCAGGCCTACCCCCTAATAGATGGAATAACGACATGCAGGAAGTAGATGGATGCAGGTAGATCAGAATCATGCTTTGTGGCACTCCTTGGGGGCCTATGTTCAGCAGCGGTCTTGCGAAGGGCTGTTGAGTGTAGATAATGAATGAAAAAATACTAAAAATCATTTTTACCAACGCTGAACTTACGCGGACTATGATGATTTGTTTATCGATAAATAGTATCGACATAGTTCTCGCCTTATTTTGCTTACGCATGTAGACAGTGGCACCAGTGTATTGACACGTGTACAATTTGATGGTATGCGTAAATGCAATAAGCACAAAAACAAATGCTGTAGTGTACGTGTATCGTGCCGCGATTCAATTTTTCATTTCTAGTGAAGTATACAGTAGTGTGTTTTTCTTGCACCCCCCCCCCCCCTGACAACAGAGTCTCTCCATGGTTTATTACTCAAAGACTGATTCATGCATAACTCGCAGTATAATATTCTAGTCTTTGACGCATTACTTTTTATGAGACTGTTTTCATATTTGTACAACTCAGTGATTTTTTTTAACTATTACTAGCTTGTAGCGATGAAACTCAGGGTATATAAATCACTTCATTTAGTAGAACTTGTACAAACAAAATGTTAAAAATCGATTATGCGTTATTTTTTTTTATTTAATGGCACATCAACAATCTTAATATTTAAAAGTATTCATTAAAAAAACCTTATAACTTAAAGTATAAATAAGCAAGCTTATAAATACTCTAACGCTTATACACTATGTGTATACAGCATTATCAAACTAAAATGATTTACATTTTGAGTATTAAATAAAAAAAACTGAAGAATTTTTAAGAGATAAAATATAAAGTGCAGCTTTCTACTGCCACACAACCTTACCGTCTACGGGCTGCTAACTGCAATAATTTTAGCACTAAATTACTGCTCAAATTACCGCGTGAAGTAGTGCGGTTACATTAGAGTTTACCTAGATATGACAATAAACTTGGCGGAAAAAATTTCACTGTCATATCTAGGTAAACTCTAGTGTAATCACATTATTTCACACGGTAATTTAATGCCATAATTATTGCGGTAAACGGGTGGTAGACGGTAAGGTGGTGTGGCCGTAGCTTCAGTGAAAGTTGATTTCCTAAAGTCGAGCAATATCTCATCCGTATTCATATCATCCAAAACTTTGCCGACAATTTTATTTCTATAATGTAGGTAATTCATTATAGAAATAAAATTGTGTTCATTGCGACGTATACCTCGCAATGTACACAATTTTAAAAGCTGCGCTTCGAGATACCATCATGATCTCAGCAGTTTTGTCAGCGATGTCGTGCTTATATCGTATTTATAAGCATAAGAATCATAATGTCACGTCTTTTCTACATGCTTGTAGATGTTATACCCCTATTACACTACATTGAATCTAGGTCCCTAAATCCTTAATAAGACAGGTGTAATAAGAGTAAGGCATTAAAAGGTCCCTAATTGGGGCGTCAGAGTGAACACGGTCCATACTGCGCATACCAAAGTGCAGTGTTGTAATACTAAGACACAGTATAAATATGTAGAGTAATGAAACTAAGCCTATAAATATATCATAGTTCAGGACATATTTACCTACGCTCCATGAAGACAATAGGGTTGTGAGTTGTGACTTTTAATGTTTTTGATATTTTTTGTACATTTTTGTTCTGTAGCGATCAATCAAAGGAATTTAAATAATTAGCTTACAAATACAATTTAAATAGGTAATCTCATGGCGTCGGTTAACCTCAGGAAAAGACAATAGGTTAAACACGGAAAACAATTTAACATTAACATACTACAGCTTGTAGATCTTTAACCTTGTCATTACGGCATTAACCTTTTACAAGTTTTGGCGGAAGCATACGCGAGCCGCCGTTGGACGAAAACAGCGCCGGTGACGCGTCGGCAGGGCTCATGAGTGGCTGCAAACCGTAGTGACAGTACAGAAACAAAAACTTTTTTATTCAATATGGATTATAAATAATACTTATTGACAGTTACTTTTTTTTTCATTTACTACTGATTCGCAAAAAAAAACCTCTGTCCTGGGAAGAACCAGCAAGAAACCCAGCGGGACTATTTTTTTAAACAACAACTTTTGTAAAAAAATACTGTCCCATTTTATTTACAATTTTACAGCAATATCGGCTTCAACACCCTCAAGAACCATGAAAAAGACACCCATGACAAAAAAATTGATACATATTGCAGCCGCCATCTTAGATTCACGTTTTGACAGCACTATCGGCTTCAACACCATCGAAAATCATGAAAACGATACCCTTGATGAAAAAATTGATACCTACTGCAGCCGCCATCTTGGAATTACATTTTGTTACTACTATTGCATAAGTTCACGAGTTCATTATATCGATCACACGTACTTATAATTCGATAAGGATTATTACCATAACCATAAATAATTCTTACCTTTCAGACTCAGCAGGAAGTTTAAAATACAATAGCACCGGTTTTGATAAAGTCGAGTTCAAACAGCCGTATACGACGCAATACGTTCGTGGCGTTTTTAAAAAGATCGTGGAGATAAATTTAACCACTCGTCTTGACTCAACACTCACTACTGAGAGCACCGCGACGTCCGCTTAGGAGTCTCGTAGAGTTGTGCATGTTTGTATGATTTTGCCGTTTTGAGCGTTTGTAGGTTGTTTCTGAACTGTTCCTACATTTCGTTATATACAACATGTAACATAATTAACGCACTTTGAGAAAGTAGTTTGTTCAGAATCGTTTACTGAATCGATTCCTATCATTTTTAATATAGATAATTTTTTATCCCAAAAATAATTAAAACTACGTAAATTACAGTCACACTAAATCTGTACAGTCAAAACAAACTGAAATGGACCGTAACTTAAGGCAATAAAACTTTTAAGAGTGCAGTTTTATTTGTATCATTACTAATTTTGTCATTCAACAAAAATAAAGAAAATTCGTCCAAGAGCGTGTCGGGCCACGCTCAGTGTAGGGTTCCGTA